CCAGCCAAACAGCGCGCCCGCCTTCGAGTAGGAAATGGCAGCTTCCGCAGAAGTGGCCAACAGACACATTGTTCGTCACGCCACCTGCACTGAAACGTACCAGCTATTTAATCGTGAAATGTAGCTAGCCATCCAAAAATGTTGCACTACACCAGCACTACCGCACAGTTAGCAGATAGGTACGGACCGGAGACCGCAGGTCCTGGTCTCTGTCTCTTCCGAGTACGGTCTCCGGACCGGTCACCGGCGCCACCATCTCCGCGCGGTAGCTATAGCACAACTCTCCGGCCGGGGCCCGCAGTTCCTCGACCTCTTCGTCCAGCCAGACCAGCACGGCTCCCGCCCAGCGCCTGAAGACTCCGCCCTCCACAGATCCGTCCGTCCAAAGCCGGACAGCACACAGGGGCAGGAACGCGAGGTGCAGCGTAGCCACGCTTTCCCTTTCCGCCGCCGTGGCCCCAGCCCGGATCGGGCACACGTCCAACCGGAAGGTGACGCCAGCCGTCTGTTGCCACGGTGGGATTCTCGCTCTCGCCCAGGCCTGGCGGCCTCGCAATCTCCAGCCTCGGACCGAAGGCAGGCGCGCCGGTGCCGAGGCCTCGGCGGTCGCGTGCAGGGGGTCCCCTGATGGCAGACCCAGCGCCCTCCCCAGCAGCCTGGCAGCCAGCGTCCAGCTTCTCTCCTCCATCGGAGAAAGTCGGGCTTCCGCCATTAGTGCGTGGCACGGTGTTGAGCGCGGATACAGGTGATGATGCGGCCGCCTCCCGCAGTCCTCGCTCCAGGAGATTCACGTGCGAGGGGGCGGCCGCCGGCAGCCACGCGACGGCAGCGTGTTCGAGCGCCCCTCGGACGTAACCGATTGACCACCGTACTAAGGGCACTCTCGTCCAGGCCCCAGCTATTCAACCAGGTCGACGGCGCCGTAGCCGTCAGAACCTGGTGATCACTCGAGCCACGCCACAGAGCTCACGCCTCAAAGCGGTTGGCTCTCCGGTCCTCGGCATCCGGCATCCGCAGTGATTTGGCGTAGCCAGGACACGTGAGATGCTGGCCTCAGTCATAACCGGAAAGCCTGTAAAAAAAAAAAAACAATATGTGATTGACAAATGGAAATATATTGTATGCATAGAGTTGAGAAATCATGACGCACACTGCATTGTGACAGTAGATAGTTTAGTGTGATTGGCAGAGGAGGGACTTATTGTAATAAAACAATGAACAATTGAGGCATTGATTTGATTTTGTAGGTAGCTACCTACCCTTCTCATATGAATCTGGATGATTTGTACCATTACGAAAAAAAAGGTCTAGGATCGGGGGGATGTCCCCACTTTTCAGCTATGCTAATTTTTAAAGTAAAATATTTATTTTTCATTTAAATTCAAAACTAAGAGCAAGAAATTGTTCGGCAAGGTGAGATAAGCACGAAACTGCAAAGAATTTGTTTATAGGGGTATTGGGGTTCCCACAAAGTGACATTGAAGTTCTCTGCCCCCTCCCCCCACACTTTAAGTGAGGTTCCTGCGCCCATGGAAAAAAAACACATTGCATTATGTGCATCAACACTTAACCCTTGCACTTAGAGAGGGCCACAAAGCCCACTATAAAGCCCACAAGACACCACCTGAAATCAAAGCATGACAAATGATAGCATGTAGGCACCTGACCTACTATAACCTACTGAACCACATACCCCATATATCAATATGTATGTGTACTGTGTAGATAAAGTATGAATGGTAGGTTGATACCAAGGCTGTTTAGTAGGTTGTAGGCATGCTGAAAGGATGAAAGATGGGTATTTGTTCAAAAAATATCTGATCTACAGTTCATATGAATATGCAACATGGGGTCCAGACTGGAAAAAAATACACGTTAAGCCGAATATGTCCGGCGTAGTGGCGGGATTGCGCCGAAAATTTAAGCGCACGTCCGGCGTAACTTCGCATGCGCCGAATTCAGCGCATGGCGGCGGACGAATTTTTCGGTGCAGGGCGGTCGCATATTTTTTTTGGCGAAAGACAGTCACCGAATTTATGCGGTACGCTGGTCAATCTAGCAGCAGATTCGCCCCGTGGGCAGCTCTGGAGAGGTTGCGGGACGAGACGTCCCCCGCCCCGGTCGTCGCGTGCTCGAACTGGCGAGCCGCCCTGAGTCTACTCAGCGGAGGAACGGCCGCCCAGGTGAGGCCTCAACCTTCGGCGTAGAGATAGGCATGGAAAACGTTGTTGAACGTCGCCAAGCGTCGTTAAGCAATAGCAGTGGGTTCCTGCCCACTGCAGTATCGAGGGGAATGAGAGCGTGGACGATCTGGCAAAACTGGCGGCCGCCCTGCCCTCAAACGCCCGATCGCTGACCAGGGCGGTTCATTGTGCGGCCTCGCATCAGTGGCGCGACAACTGCTCAGAATCACTATTCAAGCCACTCCTCGGGAGCACGCCGCCGCTCCCTCTCCCCGGAGAGGACCGAGAGGATGCCATTTCGGTGCACCAGATGAGGGCCGGCCACCGGGGCAGCTCGCTCCAATACGGCACCGAATCGGCTGTCTCCACTCCGCCGCGTGTCAGCAGTGCCCAGACAAGCGGTGCCCAGCGGCGCTCTGCACCGTGAGCCGAGAAGAGGCTGATGTGCCGGAGCACGTGCTGCTCCGCTGCCGGGCCCTCGCTGGCTCCCACCGAGGTATTGGGTTTACGTGGAAATAAAAACTAATTCGGACGCTCAAACATGGGATAGCGTACAAAGCCCCGAAACACTCTGCCTGGTTGATATAGCCTTGATCAGTATATGTGCACATGTGCTTTATATGAAAAGGGCTTAATTTTCGCACAAATAGGCACCTAATTTTTGGCGCAAATCACTCAGAAATTTCGGCGCAAAATCGCTTGCGCCGAATTTCGTCTCACTGGCATCCGGCGTAGTGTATGGATGTTTTCCAGTCTGGCATGGGGTTAGGTAAGGTTTGATTTTTGTTTTGTATTTGTATCACATGTAAATATCATATCTGGATTCAGGATGTCAAATAGTGCAAGAATGTACAAAATGTATGCCTGAAAAGTGAATCACTCTTTCTGAACATTTACCAAAAGTGGTAGTTTAGTACGCAAAGGTTAGGCTAGGGTAGATGATGTTTTTTATCTTCACCATAGTTTATCTACACAGTAACCGAGAAACCCTCGTCCAGACATAGGTAGGCATGGCAAATCATCAAAAAGTTAATATTTTTCTGCTCATCAGCATTTGACCAAAATAAGGGTTCTAGCATGTCTGGTTATTTCAGGTTATGTTAGGTTATATGTAGGTGAGGTTAAAACTTTAACAATCTCTAAGACATATATACGGGCTTCATCTGAGATTAATATTGAGCTAGGGGTCTGGGTACCCACGTTCCTGTCAGGCCATGATACTTGACACACCATCCTGCTATCTGAGGCAGCCCAGGAACAAGCTCAAGCAATTACAATGAAAGTCAACAGTCGTGCGGGCATTACACCACTCCCCATTAAAATATATCAAGTAATTAGTTAATGACGATAATCCCGCCACCACAAATCTTATGAAACACATCAACATTGACCTTTGATATTCCGAAAAGAAATATCCATAATGATTTAAAGCGAACGTGTTCTTACGCTGCTGTGACATAAGCTGCGCATGCGAAAAACACCCGCTAGACCAATTGATGGCGAATAAACCTGTTGATGAAGAAATACTTGTCTCCCATTGGTCTGTGAACACAATCTGCAGGAAACGCAGCTTAAACTACAGTAAAAATTTTGCAGGAAAATCTGCAGAAAGTAAGAAAAATGCAATTTAAACATATTTAGCCAATGAGTCTGGCCAATCTGTTGATATATTCCGGTAGATATTGAGCATTATCGGTCATTTTGAAAGAATTACGGTCCGACTCTCTTTATTTTTAAAGCAATGACGCATAATATGATTATTGAAAAATTGACAAATATATTTTCTTGGAGGGAAAAGTGGGACTAGCGTTAAATTAAAAATCAAAATTAACACACTGATCGAGACCTCGCTTTCAAAAATATATATCAGTGCATTTTCGCATCGAATCTCTCTCAATCATGAACAAACTTGGGCAAAAACAGCAAGATTGCCTGCTTTGTCAATTCACACATTTTCATATTCGGGGGCAATTTTAAAGTTGATGGCCAATGTTTTCAAAGTCAACATTTCCATAGGAAAAAATACAGCTATTTTTCTTCCAAATTCATTCATTTGTAGAGTCCGACTCTCTCTTGTTTTCTCGCAGTTTCCGTTGTGCTCTGAGAGAAACGATCATGTGTATCATAAGCGTTTGGCTCACTTCAAGACGGCAGAATTTGCACTTGCATTTTCTGCCGTGTGGAAGACCAGAGGGAGTCAGCTAATTTATGACAGAATGTGCTTAAAAAATGACTGGTGAATAATATCTTTTGTAAGTGCCTGACAAATATTTATATTTTAAATCACGCTCTTCAGCTGTCAAGTGAGCTCCAAATGGCCTAAATTGTCAGCTGTTTATCATCCTAGGTCAGCTCAAGGTCACAGACGTCAGCTGAAGAAAGTGGTGACCATTGCCCCTGTGTTGAGCGGACAAACCGGTGTTACCTAGTATTCTATGTACCGTGCGTATAGGTATGTATTTGTCTGTCTCATATGCGCGGGAAATGTCGCGCGCATGTGTTCAAGCATTCAACAAATTTTACATTTGACTTTGAGCTTTGCATTCACTCTTGCACTTCTGTTATATTATGTTGCCGATATTCACACCTGAACCATTTGCATTTACTTCCGTAACAGTCTTTGCTTCCAGCCAGTAGCCACACTTACCCAAATTTCACTTTTGACTCCCATTGCTGCCGCCGTCAGCTGTGCCCAAGCTGTGCCCCACGGCTTCGTATCGATTTTACGTGCAGCGTGACGTTTTGTGATTGCCTCAACCATGGCCAAGGCCCTAAAACCATGGCTATATTTTTTCAAGGGCAATATGGATCAAGAGACAACTAAATAAAAACAAAAGACGTATATTCGGCCCGGAGCATGCGAGATCACGTTGCTTGCAGGTAGCATCACAGCTTGTCAGCCTCTCTGAGCGATTGCAGCGCCATCTCCAAAACACTTTCCCTGCTTTTCGCGCCGCCTATGAAGCCAGAGGCGTGCACGAAGACGCAGCCGGAGATGCCAGACTCCTTCGAAAGCTCGTCATCTCGCAATCCACGCCAGCTTTTCTTCAAGGGTACCCTGTCAATAAAAGTATTGATAAAAAAATACACTGAGATAATCACAACAATACCATAACCCAACAGACGCAAAATTGACACGTAGACTAGACATCCAATACATCAGCTCTCAATTATCAAATCATTAAATTCTTATTTTATACGTCATACCGAAATTAACCGTTCCGAATACGAATTTACATTCTGTCGACTTGTTAGAACATGAAGCAAAAACTACCATATGTGGAGAATTGTACTCAGCCGGGGGTGCTCGGGCACAGCCAATCCACCGCCGCCCCAGCGGTGACCTTGACCCGCTCCTCCTGCTGCGGATCCAAAGTCAAGCCGGCGTGGAATTGGGAGAGCTCGAGCACCCCCAGTCCAGCACAATTCTCCACCCGTGAAAACTACGAAGCCGCATCACGCTCTCAACATATGCTACTATCCATTTGTTTGTTATGAAAAGTGAACAATGCATGCCTTCATTACCTCATGTCGAACGATCCGACGAAGGGCGGCACGGTCTGCACGCGCCAGTTGCCGTTCTGGTCGGTGTAGAGCATGAACATGACCTGCGCCGGCGGCTCTAGCTGCTGCTCCAGCGTGAACAGGTGGTCCTTCCAGGGCGCCCCGCCGGCCGGCAGCTCGGCGATCAGACCGCTCGGGTGCACCTGGCGGGGTGGACCGGCCGGCCGTCAGACGGCGGCGGGGGGGGGGGGGGGAGCGGGGGAGGGGCCGATCACTCGAGGTAAGTGGGCTCGGGACAGCGTGCGATCAGGATGAGCTGAGAGATAAACTGGTGGCTCGAGATACGGCCGTACTAACCACAAACGGCACAACAGTACCGGCGCGGAGCCGAGTCCCCGCCACAGAGCGCAGCACGCCGCCCGGCGGCTCGGCGCCGCCGTCCGGCGGGCCCGCCCACCCCCGGCGGCCCGCAGTGGCGCTCACCCGGTGCCGGTCGCGCAGCGCCGCCTCCACCAGCTGGCGGGCCGGCAGCCAGACGGTGTGCAGACGGCGCAGCGCCTCGCCGAACTCGGCCGTCACCAGCGCCATGGCCCGCTCGAAGCGGCCCCGCTCGTCGGGCTCCGGGTCGTTCCAGGCCGGGTTCAGCCGCGACACGCGCGCCCCGATCGTCGACGTCACCTGGTACCTGGGCGCGGTAGGGGAGAGGAGGGGGAGTCACCGGCAGCATTGGACAAGCGTGGCGGTTATGGTACTGATCAGCTTAACAGACACGGCAATCAGCCACGGTGATACGTTTTTTGCCGGAACTCTGAGCTCGCGGCCGGCGCGCGGGCCCGACTCACCGCGGCGTGCCGTCGTACTGGTTGATGCCGTTGTCGACGGCGTCGATCTCCTCGACGAACGTCTGGTAGAGCCGGTCGTAGAGCACCTCGTGGGTGTCGGCCGGCGCGTCGCCCAGCCGCGCGGCCAGCACGTCGCGGCCGAAATGGTGGTACACGAGTCCGGCCGAGCTGAGCCGCGTGGTCCACGGCTTCCGGCCGCCCGACACCGACTGCATCGTCTCTGTGAACGACCTGGGCGCAGCCCCACCGCCAGTCAGTGCGCGGTGCAACAGGCACAGGTACGGGACGGACGGCTACAAACCTCACCTGTCGCAGCTGCCTCCCGCCCGCGCTGTTAAAGCCGCAATCGTGGACGATGAATCAGCATTCAGCACATCGTCGCTGACCAATAGGGTGGGGGTGGGTAAGAGCGATGAGGCTGTCCTGAGAGTGTTTTGTCCGTGTTTTGACGTGAGTGAATGTGCAAATGTTTTGAATGATTAGATTAGCAACCGCGGATACGGATTCTGAGCAGTAATCACCACGCACTTTGTATGTGGATCGCTCTTAAATGTAAATACAAATACAAATACAGCTGGATCAGCCATCCATCGGCTGGACCCGGCCGGTACTCTGACTGAAGGACGACCGTCGATAATATTTTGGTGCAATGGTCCCATTACGTTTGTGCGGCTACTTTGAGAAGGAAAAACCTATATAGGCTAACTGGTGCGAATGATAGTTTGATAAAGATAGATTGAAGAAAAAAATCAGTCGGAACTTAAGGTCTACTTGCAATGAATATAATATATCAAAGCCGAAAATGGTAAGTCACTAAACTGCTTTAATAAGTCTCAACTGCTGCCACCAACTGCGGACCATGCAATTCATGAGTATCATGTATCGAGCGCCGGAAGTCATTGGTCTATCATATCGATAGTCATTAGTCAATAAGCTAGAACAGACGACGAAAAAAATTAATTAAACACCGTAACATCAAAGTAAGCTAGATCCAATTCACGTCATTTGAGCAAGACGAGAGCTCAGTTACAAGGCCTCAAAAACAGCAGTGGCTAAACAATGAGAGGACAATGCGCCATGTAAAATAAAACACGGGGCGACGAACGCTACTGACTTTTGGTGGTGGTCGTATCTGTGGTTGTCGGGATCGTAGACGGCGCCAACGTCCACGACAATGTCACATTCCTTCAGCATATCCTCATCACGAGATCTGAAACAGTAAGAACATGCAGATTGCAGTGAACACTCATTGGAGTAGCCACTGCCCAGTTGTGACAACTCAAAAGAGCTAAACTCTAAAGCATTCTTGATTCATGATCACAAACCATGAAAAATATAAACACAGGACTGTTATTGTGCATAGCAAAATAACATCAACCTTGCATACTGCATATCCGCGTAAGGTATAGGTAGGTACCTGATGATTTCAGCATCTTGACATTCTGGTAGCATTTTCAGCATAGAGACTGCCAGTACTTCATCACAATGAAATGTGCCATTGTGTGTGCCAATTTTATGCACAGCTTTCTTGAATTTCTTCATTTCTGATACCATGGTGGTCATTGCTGTAATTGCAGAAATGTGATTTAAAACATAGGTACACAAAAAGTCAGTAGGTACCTACTCAAAAACAAACAAAACAAAAACATAAAATAAAGAAACTTGTGTGAATCTATACAAAATAAGGATTTGTTCACCCAAATGCATATCATATTTAACCACTACCACATAACAGTAACACCCAATTGAATTGCAACACCCAACCAGGCATTCACACCAATCCTACCTACACATGGTGATATCCTAGAAAGTAATCTTGATAATGAAATGCTTGCACACAAAGCAAGGCCTTTAGTGGTGAGCTGAGACAGCAGCATAATAAGTTTATGATCTTATGGTTACAATCAAAGCATCTGGAATGACACAGGACTCAGAAATCAGAATTGTGTCACCCCAAAACACGTTTTACCGGCGCACCTTTCTTTAATTCATTAACACCTTGTGCATTGTAGTAGGCACGTAGTACGTACCTTAATCTATCACAATATTTTGCACACAATTTGAAAGAAAATTATCAGCGGCAAAATGGCATGGATCAGCTTACAGTCTGAAAGGTGTTTTAGCTCTTGGTTTTAGCATCAACTTTCCAGTGTTTAGAGCCTAGAGGCAAGATGTTGCAGTTACTAGACAACTTGCAGGAAATGTTAGATAAAATGGTTGAATTTATGTGTTTGGTACAATTTACCAATGCAACTATGAGGCAAAGAATAAAGAAATACATCCTCAATGCAATGAATTTCCTCATCAGGTATAACTGATAGGTAGCATGCTGATGAACAAAATGACAGCTGAGAACACACATAACCCGACAATTCAATTGAATTGAAATTATAAGGCATTGGCATGGGAAAAGGTAAGGTACCGGGGACGACGGTGAAAACAGGGCGCCTGGGGCGATTTGATCAAGGTTCGTGAATTTTACACGTGACATTCGGCATATAGAAGGCCCATGGAGGGGGAGAAGCTCCAAATGTCACGTGACTAATATGCCCTCCGGCGCCCTGTTTTCACCGGCGTCCGGTACCGGGGCCACCGCGGCGCCATGGATGAAGTATTCCTGGATAGGACACTCCCTATTCCCCAACACTAGCGCCGGCGACCAAGCGGCCGCCCTGGTGGCGGAGCTCCGAAACATCGGCGGCGAGTGCGCCGGCGGCCGCCGCACCGGCTTGCGTGCTAAAAACGCGGTAATGGAGGGCGAAATTAGCAAACTTTAGCTCATAAGACACGATTTTAGAGACTTCACACATATCTTAAGTTCTTTCTTATCATTATTATGGCTCCATTTAGTCACTATCACATACGGAATCATTACCTGATGCCCATAAACTGAGCCAGTATTCTTCACTTGCCGATGCAATTTATCATCAAATATCATCGTTCCTCGGCAGTCAAACAAGTTCCTATTGATGATTTAATACAAATATCAACTTATTTTCATGTTATCGCATAAAACTTCACTTTATTCTAACATTGGCTCTTCGGCTGTAATCACGAGCTCTCACTTGTCAGCAGAATTTAAGCAACTTCTTAGATCAAAACTGGGAAAAGAATATTTCCATGACATTCCTCAATTCCTGTTCTACCAGGTTCACAAAAAATTTCATCAAAATCGGTTACAGGTAAGTAATAAACGACAAAAGTATACAAAAAGACACGCTCCGCCCATAGCCCGCAATGCTAAAATGGCACCAGCGCCCTCGCCGTCGGGAAATCCGCCGCCGCCGCCGGGTGGTCGGAAAATCGGCGGAGTGTCCCATCCAGGAATACCTAATCCATGGCGGCGCTTATGCCTAGATCCCGCGTTAAATAAGGTTTGCTAAATTTGACTAAAACCATGACTGAAAATGAAACATAAAAATCATATTTTGATGACGTATATTTAAAGTTAGGCAATGGTTAGGCTTTTACTCTGTGCAAGATATTCCAATATCAGCACGCTTTTGAAATTTTATTGGAAAACATATTGAAGTTATGTGGAAAAATATCATTGTGTTGAAAAAATTGATGCTTTTAGCTTAATATAGGAAAAATGACATAGTTATGATTAAATATACTTCATAATATTCTGGTCGTCCTTGTTTGTTTGATTCACGAGTTCAACCCCGCGTTCGATGTCTCTCGGACGGCGAAGATTCTACGTCGTTCGGCCAATCCCGTTCAAGGTCAGCGGGGGCTCGGCTGCGGCTGTGGAAGGTGATTGGCCGGATGGCATAGAATCTTCGTCGTCCGAGAGACATCGAACGCGGGGCAAGTTGGGGGGATTAGGGTCCCTAGAGAAAAAAACATTAGAAACCATTAGGATTTTCTAATGGTTTCTAATGGTCTTGAATGGTCTCTAATGGTTTTTGATGGTCTCTAATGGTATTCTAATGGTTTCTGATGGTTTTCTAATGGAAATTGATGGTGCTCTAATGGTCTCTAATGGTGTCCTAATGGTTTCTAATGGTCTCCAATGGTGTTTGATGGTTTCTAATGGAATTTGATCTGATGGTCTAATGGTCTAATGGTTTCTGATGGTTTTCTAATGGAAATTGATGGCGCTCTAATGGTCTCTAATGGTTTCTAATGGTCTCCAATGGTGCTTGATGGTTTCTAATGGAATTTGATGGTACTCTTATGGTCTCTAATGGTGTCCTAATGGTTTCTAATGGTCTCCAATGGTGTTTGATGGTTTCTAATGGAATTTGATCTGATGGTCTAATGGTCTAATGGTCTCTAATGGTATTGTTATGGTTTCTGATGGTCGCTAATGGTTTCAAATGGTATACTTGGTGGTCTAATGGTTTCCTAATGGTTTTCAATAGTTTTGATTTTGGGCTCCAAACAGGTATTCTTATGGTTTCTGTTGGTGTTCTGATGGCATCTTTTCATTTATGATGGTTTCAAAATTGTGATGGTCTAGTGGTGTTCTAATGGTTTTTAATGGTCCTGTAATGGCTTTTTATTGATCTTGAATATGTTGTTAAACACTAACTGTGCTTATGTAAGGAGTGCTGCATCGACAGCGGTCTGAACGATCGCTTTGAAACTTTCAGAGTTTCAGAGAAAAGTTATGAAAGTACACATTTTTCATAAAGGTAGCTATTTTATCATTTTTGCCCTCTGGAGACTTCATTTAGTTCAGAGCTGAGGACACATTCCAGAAAAAGGGTTAACCCGGCGGCTGATGGGCCTCTGCGCCACCGCCCACCCGCCGGGCAATGGGGGGAGGGGGGAGGAAGCATATAGTTGCCCTGTTTCTGCGGCAATATCATCGTAACGCGAAGAGATAGAGAAGCAAAGCCTTGTCGATATGCTCAGAAGTTTGCACATATATTCCTGAATAGCTAGCCGAGGTTGTGTCCAAATTTGGTGTGGATACCATTTGAAATGACGTAACAGTGACGTCAAAAGTCCAATTTTATGTGAATTTTCTTACGATATATCCGATATATTAGACTGAATATAACGGACCAAATGACATCCTTTGAATATAGAGGATATCACACAAAACATACGAGGCAACTTTATTCCCCCCCCCCCCCCCTGTAGCGGCTCGTGGGTTAAAGGGACACTCCCACTTAACCCGGCCGGGCCCGGGGGGTAATCCCAACCACCGCAGCCCGGGGGGGGCGTTTTTCGCCCCCCCTGTCTAACTCCGTAAATAAGGGAGCTACGGAAACAAAAGCGATACCAAACGAAAGGTCCTTACGAGACGATTCTAATGCACCCAAAATTTTTGACCTCAGGTCAATTTTCAAGGTCAGAGGTCAAGGTCAAAGGCCAAAACCGGCACATGTGTAGTGATCTCAAAGTAAGCATTCTAGAGGACGGCAGGCTGCATCAAACCGGCAAAATTGGGTGTCAAACGAAAGAAGAGAATCTGAGGATTCTGAAAATGTGCTCCAAATCAAAGGTCAAGGTCAAGGTCACGCTCAAAGTTGACCTCAAACTTGGCACTTTTTTGCACATCTTGCGTGCTAACTTCCAAGATGTTTTGAAATGTTTTGAGGCTTATCAGTTCCCTATTTGTGGTTCATCTTACGATACAAGGCTGCTCAAAGGTCAAGGTCACAGAAGAGTATCCCTGCTAGAGGCTATTTCACTGATTCAAGTTAGTAATAATAAATAAGACAATTTTGCCATCCGGAAGCTCTAAATGAAGGCTTAGAGGAAAATAGATGCCAGATTCGTGATCAGCGGGTACAAATCCATCATAAACGACCTTTCATGTGTCAAGGTCAACCAGAGGTCATTCGAGGTCACATGAGGTCAACATGAAACTTGACCTTTTCCGAACAAAATATATACCATTCGACGCGGCTTGACAAGGCGAATGCGATGGTACCACTGCTGTAGCTCTAGGACCATTTTTGTCGAAGTTATTTGCGAAAAACTAAAACCACATTTCGGGGTCGTTGACCTGACCTCTGACCTCAGGTCACCGAAACTATTTTTCTATTTTTCTCTAGGTCAAACGCTACACAGCCGTGCTCGCAATTTGTCTTTATCTCTAAAACTCTATTTTTAGCAGCTATTTGAAGTTTGCGTCTGTGACGCCGAAGTTTGCCGTGCAGGGGTCTAGAAAAATGGATCTTGTGACGTCATCAAGGGGGCCAGGTCCAAATTTTTTACTTCAGAAGATGTCAAATTGATGGGAGAAAAGGTACTGAAAGTTTCGCCTTCCTATCCCTAAGCGTTCGTGAGTTATCGCAAATATTCGCCAGGGGGGGCGAAAAACGCCCCCCCCCGGGCCCGCGAGGGTTAACATTAGTTTTGAGTTGAGATAGCCAAATTGGTGGCCATGGCCTGCAAATAACGGTTTGGGCACTCACAACATCGACAAATGCTTTAATTCGGAGATATGGAATTTCAAACTTGCAGTTTTCGGATTCTAAGGGGCTAGTGCATTGGTATGCCCCCTTAGAATTTGTGACGTCAGCGGAGATCTAACGATTTTTAAATCTTTTACTAAAACGTTTGGTAGCACGCGGTGGTATATGCTGCTTCGCGCGCAACAAATGCCGCACTTTCAAATAAAGTCGCTAGGAACAGCGGAGATCCCAAAAAGTAAACAAAAGTAAAAGTCTAATATCTTGAAAACCGGTGAATATTTTTCGATGAAATTTGGTAGATATTCGTTTTCGCTCTTTCTGAACCGAGCGACATCACTTTCGTGCCAATTCATTAACTTTTTTGAAGGTGGGAGGGTCCCTTTAACACGCGCAGTGGAAGGGGGGGGGGGCGGATTTCGCCCACCCCTCCTGTTTTTCGCCAATAACTCGCGCCGCAAACATAATATTAATGTGAAATTTTGGCTACCTGTCCAGAATTGAATTGCGGATCTTACCGTGCCAGAAATAAGAAAATCGGTTCACAGCTTTTCTAGTAATAGCGGTGTAAATTCAAACATCCTGCCGCGGCGGCGGCGCGGCGGCGCGGCGGCCGGCGCTAGCCGTTACGCGCCGCCTGAATTGTAGACTGTGCCGGGGCGGGACGGTTCCGTCTTTACATCGCGCTCCTTACCGCTGATTACATTAGATTCGCGTCAAATTTGGTGAGAAGACTGAGAAATGTACAGGCAATCATATGGTCAAAGAATTTTGAAAATCGGCCGGTAACAACTTGAGTTATGAGTGTGTAAACACAAAATTGTGAATGCCGCGTTTCCCGCGTCAGCCGATCCCGCTTCAGCCGGCGACATCTTACCCTTACCAGGCTTCTAACTGCCATATTTATTGTTGGATTAACTAGAAATTCACCATACATACTCAAAAATGTTTGGTCTTTTGTATAGCGAAAGAAAAAAGAAAATCGGCCGGTAACTTTTTGAGTTATCGGCGTGTAAACGCAAAAAAGTCGCAAATATGGCAGATTTGACCACATTTGACCTCTTTTGACCTTGAAGATATTGACCTAGGGTCATGAAATTCACAC